GGATGACCCTGCTGTCCTCAACTCTTCCCTTTTTGTCATCTTTTTATTGGATAACAGATTGTAAGGAAATACAATAGGGTGACTTAAGATGCTAATATCCTTTAATTACTCTTCAGCTATTTATCTTGGGCCTGGTCTTCTACATAAGATCTACTGAGAGGCCAACTCAACCTGCTGTCAACCAAGACCTGACACCTGACAGGCACGAGGAAAGGTAATCATATTGAAATGTCCACAGAGAATGATTATTTTTTTGTAATAATTAATTGGGACATGGCTAAAGTTATTCTAGAAACAAAATTTCCCCTTATTATACTTTATTTTTGTACTTGAATATGTCCTAGTTCTGTTTTTATATTAATTTTAACTTTGAGCTTAGATTCTATCATAATTTTATCATTTATTTTTCAGTGTACTTCAGGTTAAAATCAATGACAGATGCTAATTAAATTACAGAAGATGTCAATTCTAAATAAAGTTTTCTAGTCAGTGATCCTATTTCTACAGCCAAATATAAAGGGCAAACTTCTCAGTAAGTTGGACCCATTACAGTCCAGATTGATTACTTAATTATTTTCTAAATTTATTTCAACCTAAAGGTCAAACTAAAATAGATTTTTATAGTACAATTGTATTAAAATATGCATTTAGGATATTTATGAAACTTGAATAATTTTACAGTTTGACAGATTAGTTCTGTTTTATCAAGTGTTGAAAGTCCTAAAGTAGTGCAAATGGTTCACATTCTTAGTTGTTAATGGAAAGGTTGGAGTTGTGAGGTCACCCAGTGGCTCCTTGGAAGAAAGGCCTGGTAATGTCCTCCTGAGAATTCAGCCATTGACAACTTCTGAAGCAGATATTTAAACCAGTTTTGCCTTCATCATTAAATACCAGCATAAATACCAATTTCTGTCAAGTCTGACTCATGGTAATTCTGTTTTTGTCAAACTGACTGTGCTTTGTAAGGTTTTAATGGTGGATTTCTCAGAAGTATATCACTAAACCTTTCTTCCAAGGTACCTCTGGGTGAGCTCAAGTCTCCAGCCTTCCATTAACAACTGAGAACGTTAACCATTTGCAGTACTCTCTGAGTGGACAGTACTTAACAACAACACCATTCAAAGTATGACCAGATTTCTCTTATTTATTTTTATGCTAAGGGAGCTCTGGTAGCGTAGTGGTTACGAATCGGGCTGCGAACCTTAAGGTCAGCGGTTCGAAACTACCAGCTGCTCCGCGGGAGAAAGATGAGGCTTTCTACTCCCGTAAAGATTTACACCCTCGGAAACCCTGTACAGGGTCGCTATGGGTCGGAACCGACTCGATGACACTTAACAACAACAACAACATAGGACATTTTATTTTATTGTGTCATTTTGTGTAAATTGAAAGAGTCTGTGATTTCTCATAGAAAGATTTTTGTTCAGTATATTAAGGGAAATGATGAATTAAATAAAAACGCCACTTCCTTCATGAAACTTGAATTTTCATGGAGTCAGTTCCAATTCATAGTGATCCTATACAGGGTTTCTAAGGCTGTAAATCTTTATGAAAGCAGAAATCCTCATCTTTCTCCCAAGGAGTGACTGGTAGATTCGAACTACTGAACTTGTGGTCAGTAGCCCTGTCTGTAATCTACTATTCTACCAGGGCTAATTTGAATTCACATGAACTCTTTTGCATTAGTTATTCTGAAGTCAGTAAAGAGCTTTCCTAACCATTGCTATTTGAGGCAAATAAAGTCTGATGTGCTATCCTTTTCCTACACTGAGCTTTAACTCTTATTTTGTGACATAAAATTCAAAGTTTGTGGTGACTGAAGATTATTCACCTAAGTTAACAGTAATTGCTATAACAAAATATAATTTGTCTTTATATCAAAAATTAAATATATAATTAAATATTAAATGTGTTGGGTTTCATACATATCTTCCTAAGATACAACTTATTAAATATCAGATAAGCTAGTATGATCCAACACCCCTTTAAGAATGGCAAGGCTGATTTGTTTATTTAAATATTTCAGTTTAAACAACTGTATCGTTCTATCTCTATTTTCCTCATAAAGCAATCAAGTTGACCATATCAAAGTGGTTATGAAAAAGCAGATAATAAAGAATGCAGTTTCATACAGCTCCTACCCACCCATTCCAAGCCCTCCCCCCACCCACCCCCACACACACATACCAATCTTCCCTCTACATCCTACTTGTTTCTGTTAGGTTAATCAGAGAATCACAGAATTTTAGAAAAGAGTTTATCCAAACCCTCATCTTACAGGTAGAACAACTGCAATCAGGGCAGAGAAATCACTTGATCAAGGTTGTCAGGTAGAAGTAGACTTTGTGCTAAAACACAGTTTTGCAGAGCATTGTGTTCTGTCTCTAGTCCAAAAACACTCAACTAGGTTCTGTTGTTTATACAATTGTGTCTACCTCTTAAACTTGACATTTAAGACCTTTTTCTGCCCTAAACTTTCTTTCCAGTTTCATGTTTCCTTTCATTCCAATTAAAATGTTCATGGGTATTGCCCAGACTTTATTTTCTTGAAAAGAAATAATTTATGTTAATCTCTTCTTGAGAAATATCCTCCTATATGCCATGAAATACACAGGACATTCTTAATTCTATGTGAAACTATCTGTATGAAAATGTATTTTGTATTTTTCACCTTCTTCATCTGACAGTGATGTGTTTATGTTGCAGCTTTCTTTCTAAAACCAATACTGCTTGTCAACAAGACCTGCATTAAATTCACCCACATAATTTTGATACTTTGCATAATAATTTGTTCCTAGGCATTTCTTAGAAGTCTCTAGGTTGTACAAATGGTCAACATAATGTGAAAGATCAAAAGTACTCATTAATTGTTGTTGTTAAGTGCCATTGAGTCAGTTCCATTCCATGGACACCCTGTATAGGATTTCTGAGGAGTAGATGGTGAGATTGAACCACCAAACTTTTGGTTCAAACCTACCTTGCAGTCCAGTCCATTATCCTGCAGCACCACACCAAGGATTCCAAGGTACTCATAGGTACCTCAAAAGAAAGGCCTGGTAATCTACTTTCAAACAAATCAATTATCAATAAATCCTATGGAACAATAATATTCTGACAAACATGGAATCCCTATGAGTTGGGATTTATTTGATTCAAAGCAATTGAAAATTCATATCTTAGGATTTGTTGAATGAATGAATGACTTTGTAATGACACTTCATTAATATGTTGTTAAAGAGCTGTTCAGTCAGTTCTGACACATAGGACCCTGTGTAGGATTACTGAGAATCGACTGGCTTGTGAACATGAACCGTTACATTGTGGTTCAAACTGAACTTGCTGTCCAATGCTTATCCTACAATACCGCACTAAGACATATTAATATAGCTAAGATTAAATTCAAATATTGTTTACTCTAGTTTGGCTTTTTAATACTTTTTAAAAACTGTTTTATTGTGAATTATGTGGTAGTTTACATGGGAGAACATTAACTTTACATTCATCCTATC